GTGTTTTGGCTTGATGGAGGACCAGGATCAAGGTCAAGGTGGGGAGAGATCTTCCTCCTTCCAAAGAGAATGGGCTCAGGAAACTGATGAAAACATCCTCCTCTTGGAATCCATCATGCCACCTAATGTATGAAAAGGGAAGCAAGTGGCATGCTTTGTGAGAGGGTGATTCATTATCATTATTTCCTGGCATATTGATTCTCCGCTTCGACAAGAAAGCTCTGTCACACCATCAGCCGGCGGTGACGGATGGCCCTGCCGCAAATGTGTCAGCAGCGCAACACAGCGCCTGCTTAAAGAAATGGCTGTGGGTGGGGGTAGGGGAGCAGCCAGGCGTGGGCTACTCCACTGATAGTGGGGTGGTGTGGCTGTACGCCACTGCCTCTCGGGATCCCTCGAAGGGATGGCAGGCAGGTACAGTGATGTTCTCACCAGGCTTTCCTTGTGGAAGGAGGAATGAGAGTGGGGACAGAGTTGGCGAAGATGTGACTCAAGCTGTGGTGAATGGATGTGCAAGCTCACTCTTCCTCTGACTTTACCTTTGTGACCCTTAAAATACAGGTGGTTGTCATGTAAACTTTGTTCTGTTTTATTTTTCCCCCAGTTAGTCTTTTACTCATCCCTAGTTTGTGGCTGTCTACCCCCATGCTTTCTAGAGCCACTAAAACCATCCTTGTTGTAACTGGGACCAATGCTCTGAAGGTTGAAGTTCACTGTTGAACCTGTGAGGCAACATCTGTCTTTGGCCCTTCTTCCTGCAATCACAGAGAGGTTATGCAATGCTGCGGTTCTGCAGAACCTCACTTCTGAGCTTGCTTCCCCCTTGCCAAGCCACCTCTTTCTGAATTACATGACAGAGCATCTCTCTCCTCCCTGTTTCCCAGGGTAGCTCAGTTCAGGATCTTCTCCATTATTTTCCATGTGCCAATAGAGAGACAGAAGTGGGGCACCAGGTGAAATATCTCAAAAGCATAGTATCTTGCCAGGGATGCAAGGGAGGGTTAAGCCAGAAACTCATTCTGAGCTTCAGTTCTTTTTCCAGGAACCTACCATGATGGCAGAAAAATCCCCATGTTTTAGACTTGGACTTCTTTTTTTCTGCAATATGCTTTGGGCAGAAAGATGAAGCTTATGTACAAAACAGCATTTTTCATTTACAAAGGTGTTTGTTCTGACTGCAAAACAATCCTTAAACTTAGAATGGCTAAATTATCTCCACTTTGCAGCTCTGTTATGCTTCTATCAAAGTTCACAAAAATGTATTTTTTAATATCTCAGACTCTCATATTTCCCAAAGTGCTCTTACTTGGATATGTGCTCATCCACATTCATTCTTCTTCCACCTGCAAGAATCGTAGGAGAGCTGCCCTATCTCTGAATCCAACACCTCCTGAGTTGAGCAGGACAGGCAGCAGTAGCTGTCTGCAAGGTCTGTTTTGTCTCAGAAGAGCCAGTTTTTGCTCCTCAAAGAGTGAGAGGAGGGGTCTGTAGGGAAAGCAGTTGGACAGTTGTGATGATATTCATCCTTCAGTAAAAATGACGCTCAAACATCTAGAGGAGAGAAGATGAGACAAGAAATGTCCTCTGTGCCTTGTTGACTGCCAGGCCTATCTGTGGTGTGTGGGTTTGGAGTGGGTCTGACACTGTTGGAAAATCAGGCCAAGCAAAGCCCTCAGTTGCTTTTTAAGCACGTGTATAAAACAGGGCTTAAAACAAAGTTTTCATGTAACCTACTAACAGTCCATGGTAGTATTGCTGTCCACCTCACTCTGTGGCTCAGGGTGCTGTTGGTCGTGGTACCTGAAGGTGTTTCATCCCTGGAGCATGTTACTTATATCCTCTGTCCTGTGTGTAGAGGAACAGATGAATGTCTGATTTCGCCAGGATCCTTGTGGTGAAGGAACGCTGTGGGACAGTTGGTGTGGCAACTGCAGGTGACTTGAAATTGTATAGTGTGACTCTCTCTTCAGCATGCTGTCCCAGGTAGAGGAGGATGTGAGCAGGAGCTTTGTGTGTGCCTGAGGATCCTGTCCTGCCTCTTGTCTGCTCAAAGCTGCCTGTCACTCAGGGTCTGTCATCTTCTTTTCATCTTGATTTATCATCCAGCATAACTAGGTTTCAGAGTTTCATTTTTGGGCTTGCCTCCTCCCTCCTCCCAGGGACAGAGAGATAAATCTGGCATGCAATTGTTTTAGCTCTCTGGTCCCAGGAGTGAGAGACTCTTCTGCTGCAGGGAGTGAGAGAAAACACAACCATTCAGGCAGGGCTGCTGTTGTCTTCTCTGGGGCTGGAATTGTGCAGGGAGGTTTCCAGTTTACCCGGCACCACTTCTCTCAAGGATCATGCGTCTGCAGAGCACTAGTGCTAGGGCAGGGGGAGCACAGCTTGCCTTGTTGGAAACAGTGCTAGTTTAGATCTTAGTATTAGATCATCACTCCTTGTAACTTTAATACATTTAATTTCTGCAAGAAGTGTTTAAGGAAAAAGAAGGGTTATGAATTCTAGCTGCTTAAGCCAAAGACTTCTATCCATCATGTAGAGAATCCACAGGAATTCTGTTCCTTCAGTGCTCCCTGCCAGAAAAGCGCATATCAGGGCAGAGGAGAGCCTGTGGGTCTCCAACTGAAGAGATGCTCTGAGGATAGGGTGCCAGCCTGGAAGTTCCCCTGAACTGGTCTTGTTAGCACTGGTGTGCAAAGTGGGGCTTTAAGCCAATGGTGAGAGTGAGTTTGGGGGATGGAAATAGGTTGCTCTTCACTCTGCTGAGCAGAGCAGGTGGAGATTTACTGTCTAGTGTGCAGGGGAAGAGGTGCAAGACTTCTGCAGTTACATCTAGTCCAGATACAGGACCAGCTCAGGATTGGGCTGCTGAGGCTGACCACCTCTCCCAAGCGAGAAGGAAAGGAATGGTCTCGGCATACTTCCAGAGCTGCCTAACCTGGTTTGTGTTATTGCTCAGGGCACCTTCTTTTCTTCCTTGTAGCCTGTGCAGCCCTGGGGAGTGCAGACAATGACACATCACCTGCAACACAGCTCTTTCTGGCTATCTTGCTGTAGCAGATATGGCTGGCAAGTGTCTCCCCTCTGGGGAGCAATGCAGGAGGCACAACAACTGCACCTGTGTTCACAGTGCCCCTCACTTGCTGGCTTGAGTGAAGGCGAGGGGAATTGCACACCCCCAGAGCAATGAGCTGTTGCTTTCCACAGCCCTCTGTGACTGCTCTTGGGGAAGTAAATAGAGCCCAGCACTCCCAAAGTGGCCTGGCCCTGGTGGTGTCATGAAGGAATAGATCTGCTGTCATCAGTCCAGTGTGCATGGAGAGCTGTTAAGACTTGCGCTGTCACTGGGAAACAGTTGGAAGCGAGAGGTTTCCTGAGGCACCACGAGGTGAAATGCGGTGTGTAGCTTGTAAGGGCTCAGCACAAAGCTGGTGTTTGCTGCAGGAAGAAAAGGAGGATTGCTGTGAGAGGAGAAACTGGGTTTTGGAGAGTGCCAGGAGTGCACAGGAGGTGATGTTCAGTTAAGGTTAATCTGGGCTTGCTGTGGACAGAAGAGATGGCGTTCGCTAACTGGTCTGTAACTATCTTTCCTAGTACCGTCCCTGGCAGGGCTTCCCAACTCCAGCCACCTGTGTCAGGCGGAGCAGTACTGGGCACAGAGCAAGGCAGTGTCCTTGTCACCCCACCGTGAGCCTGCCCGGCACACAGCGCCAGTGGCCAGCCTCCTATGGGCTTGGCCGCAGGACTGTGTGCTGCTCTGTTTAATTCCTCTGTATTTATATTTATGACATTCAGAGTTGTCCATAGTAGTAGTCTCAGCATTTTGTTACTTTTTTCATTGCCTGATAATTCACAGCTCTGCTCTGATGCCTCAAACCAGTGCAGGAGACAGCTCTGTGCAAGCTACAGCGGCCCATCCATTGCCAGCACCAGACTGTAAATCTTGCTGCTTGCTGCCCTGCCAGGCAGGGTTTTTTTCCCCTGTTCCTTGTTAACTCCAGCAGCTGATGATCATCTTTCCCAGGTCGATGTGATTTCTGTGACACCAGAATTAGTTTTCTGCTGGTTTTATGTTTTATTTAGGAATAACAGTCTACCAGTAACTGCTTCTGGCTCAAATTTCCACCAGTGGAGTAAATAAGGGCATTAGCCCAATCTCCTCAATTCATTTTGGTCCATAGCATGTTGCATTTTGTGATAAGCTTTGTAAAATGTTTTTAGGCTTTTCCCTGACATAAGTGAAGGGTAGACATGCAGACTTTGTGCCTAGAAGTGATGAATTTTAATAGCAGTCTTTCAGTGCTGCTTTAGTCCCTTCCAGACTGGCTTCTCCACCCTGGGATTAACTACAGACAGCCTGTTCCTCCTGCCCAGGAAATGGCTGGCTAGTTCTTGCTCTATCGTGCTTGACACATCACAGGGACAGGAAAGCTTGGTAGTAGCTGCTGCTCCTGTGCATCTCCCTGTGTACATAGGTGAGGTCTTGGAAACATTAGTCCAGTTGCAGATGTGTAGGAATATTACTGGGGTTGACTGCAGCCAGGTTTAATCTTTTCTTCCTTTAGAGGTCAAAGCTCAAACATCTCTAAGCCATTTTTAAATGGTGATGTTTAGCCAAGGTGTGTGGCAGAAGCATCCATGGACTGAGACCCTTGAGAGTGGTGGGCTTAGCCAGCCGTGTTAGCGTTACATTTCTGAAGGGCCCAGAGCAACTGTTTGCTGTTGGGGGTGGGAGGGTGAGTCCCTGTGGGAAGGAGACTGGAGGGAGATGCCTGCCAAAGGCAGTCCTGAGTCCATTCCCTTATCTGCTGACTAGCACTGAAAGCAAGTCGTGATTAATTCCTGTGCACCTTGCCTGTGATGTACCACCTTCTCCAGAGATAAGGAGATGCTCTTGTGGAACAGGAGAGAGAGCTGGTGCCAAAACTGCTGGTGCCAATGGGAGGAGGGTCGTGGGGAGTGCAGACCTGGGCTTGACCTGAAACCTTCTCTCTCTCCAGCTTTCATCCTCATGATTATTCTGGCCCTCATCCGCATCAGCAGAGGCCAAGCTGAAGGTCACCCGTCCGTGGCCCAGCTATCGGGCATCCGCAATCTCTTTGGGGTGTGCGTCTACTCCTTCATGTGCCAGCACTCCCTGCCATCCCTCATCACACCCATCTCCAAGAAGAAGCATGTCAACAAGCTTGTGCTGCTCGATTACATCCTGATCCTGGCTTTCTACAGCCTCCTGTCCTTCACTGCCATTTACTGCTTCCGCAATGACACCCTCATGGACATGTACACGCTCAACTTCACCAACTGTGAGATCATCAACATTGCCTTCATTCGCTACTTCCTGGGCCTCTTCCCCGTCTTCACCATCAGCACCAACTTTCCCATCATCGCAGTGACCCTGCGCAACAACTGGAAGACCCTTTTCCACAGAGAAGGAGGGACCTACCCGTGGGTGGTGGATAGGATTGTCTTTCCTGCCATCACGCTGATTCCCCCAGTGCTGGTGGCTTTCTGCACCCATGATCTGGAGTCCTTGGTGGGGATCACGGGAGCCTATGCTGGGAATGGGATACAGTATCTCATTCCGGCTTTCCTCGCGTACTGCAGTCGGAAGGACACTCAGCTGGTCTTTGGCAGTGGGACGGTTAACAAGCACCTCTCCCCTTTCCGGCACACTTTCTGGATTGTGTTCGTGCTCATATGGGGCTTTTCTTGCTTTGTGTTTGTGACTGCAAACATTGTCCTGAGCGAGTCAAAACTCTGATGTGGGGGTAGCGGCATGCTCCCTCCTGGGCTCCAGAGACTTCAGCATTTCAGCTCCCCCTCTGGGACTGTGGAGTGGGGGAGAGGCAGTATGAAGGGAAGTTTCCAGGCCGTTGGCTTGGTGGCACAGGTTAGACCTGGACACAGACTTTCTTCACTCCATTTTGGGTGTGGATGGAGTGGACTCAGCCTTGTTACAATCTGGTTCTCAGACCCGCTATACAAAGCCATGGGGCTGAGCCCTTGGCAGCCTGCACGATTAACCAGTGTCCAGCCATTTCTGCCTTCAGCTCTGTTGGAGCATCACTTTCTCTGTCCCTGCAGTGGCTCTCTGTGTGCTGCAGGTCTCAGCACACAGGAGAGCAGACAGCCTTGGCTGCTCACTACACTAATTGGCTAAATGTCCCTTCTCCCAAAGGCAGGGATGTGCTGTGCAGAATCTGGCAGGAGTTTGGGAGAACTGAGTCTCTTCTTTCTGCTGAGACCCTTCAAATCAACCTCCTGTACCAGTTGAAGGAAGAAATTAGGGTGGGAGTAGACCTAATTCAGAAGAAAATAATTTTGTGCTCTGTTACTTTTTTTTTTTTTCTAGAGGCATTAACCTGTTTGTGCACCACGGATTGCCTGGGATCTGAGATCTTTTGCTTAGAGCTGGAATTCTCCAGCCCAGGAGTTTACATTCACACTTGTCATCCTGTTCTCCTGTGCTGTGGCAACCCCAGCCGGACAGAGCAATGCCCCTACGCATGCAGGGATACAACTCTTCACCCCTGGAAAGGAAACTGCAGCCTTGCTTCCCTTGGCTCCTGCATGCAGCTCAGTGGCTTCAGCTGGCAGAGCCCTTCTCCCTTTCTTACCTTTGCACAGGGCTGGTACAACCAGCCAGACCCTGACTCCAGTGGTCAGGATTTGTGTTGGCTGGGGAGGTGCTAATTACCCAGTCCTGACACGTGTGAGGCCTGTAAGAGCTCTGGCTCTGCACACTGATGCGTTTCCAGCCTCCTGTGCTGGGTAATTAGCCTTGAAACAAGGTGGGTGTTAACTCAAGGGAATGGGCTCGTGCCAGGAGGAAGCGGCAGTGCCCTGGCTCAGCCCTGCCTGCCTGCAGGAGCAGAGCTCCCAAGTGCTCTAGGAGAGCAAAAACTGAAACCTGCTGGAACTAGCCTTGAATCCCCCCTTCTTCTCTTTCTGCACAGGGTTAAGGTGGGCTTTGGGCTGGTGCTGCTCAGCTTATCTGAGAATTGGGCTGCCTGTTACCTTAGGCAGCCAGTGCTCTAGGTGAGTCTCTGCTTTTGAGGCTACTGGTGGTCACTGTACTACCACATGGTGACAAACAGCACTGGGTCCTGTGCTCTGAGACCCTTGGGCAAAGATCATATGGGTTTTCCTAATAATAGGAAGAACTTTAAAAGTTTTCACCTGAAATATTTTAACCCCCCTGCCTTATTAAAGCAGGTTCAAAGCCAGGTGCATGTCACTTACATTAGATCCTCTTGCCCTCTGCACTTGCTGCAGTATTAAGTGTCACCGCTTGCTAAAGCAAGCTTTGAACTGCAGCTCTTTTTAATCAAGCTCTGTTTTCAAGTAGGACTTTCTGGTTTCCATATGACCTGAAGTGCTCCTCCTGGGGGAATATGCAAGTACCTGGAGCTGTACAAAAACACTTCATGGCTTTTAAAGCAAAAACCTGCACCTCTCAAGCCTGAGCACTGCTACTGTGTCCTTGCCGAGCTGCTTAGAGAGGATCCAGGGGGACTGTTTGCCTCCTCTCCAGCTTGATCCTAGACAGGCATTGGCAGCCCTTGCTAGTGAGTTTAAACATCCCCAAGTGCTCCAGGGAAGCTGATGTGGCATCTTCGGTGCCAAATTAACAAGTTATTTTACAGGTAGCTGATGTTGGTGTCTCATTTAGGAAGAGGTATGTTGGAGGGCAAATTCATGGGGCAGCTGAGCTGGGAGCCACCTGCGAGGCAGCTGGGAGCTGGGCAGAGCTGGAGGGAGGAATTTAATACTGATGAAATGAGCCTTTGGAAAGCTGGAGAGGCTGCAGGGGCTGTTCCTCTACACAAGTGCACAGGTGTGGGTTTATGGAGGGGGCTGAGGCCTTTTGACTGCACTGTCTGCCCTAGGCTGCCCGTGCTTTGCAAGGCACTTGGCTCAGCCTCCATCCCTTCAAGTGCCCATTTCAATCTCTTGCCTTCACATTTCATTGCCAGCCGGAGAACGGGGCTGTTCCGTTATTCCATCTCCTCTCATCCTCCCTTTCCCTCTTAGTGCTGCCCTTGGTCTCCCTCCCTTCCTCCCTCTACTTCATACAGGGTAGCCTCCCACCTGCCTTCCTTGGGGTGGGAGGAGGGAGGGAGCCCAGCCTGGCGCACCCCTCTCCTGCCATCTCTTACAGTTAAAGATGTGCCTTCTCTTCCCTGGCCTGGGTGACCACCTCTCCTCCTCGGCACGGTGCATGGCAGCGACTTCTAAGGGGCCTTAGCTCTAAGAGCTGCTTGCATCCAGGTTCTGGATGCAGTGGTGCAGTGAGGGCTCCCATCCTGGCCCCAGCCTTTGCCGTGGTACCTTACCGAGGACTCTGGTCCCCGAGGAGCATGAGTGCTTTCTTAAATAAATAACCACAAATTCCCAGGCACCCGCTGTCCTTGCACAGCAGCAAAACAAATCTATCTGAGGAATTGGGGTGATTAACGGAAAGAAGCTCTACGGCAGAGAGACCATTTTTCATATAAAACATGACAGCAATGCCTTAAAAATTACTGGATAAGGCGGGAAGGGGAGGGCTCAGCAGAGCCAGCGCTGGCTGGCGGGGGACGCTAGGTGACCCGGGCTCGGCGCGGGGCAGGAGCTCCCTCCTCTTGCCCATCACAAATAAGTCCATTTTTATTTGGCCATTGTCAACACTAACAGTTCGTTATTACAGATTCTCACGTGATGCTTGTCCTGGCTGTAATTAGTTTTTAAAAAACGGGATTGAAAACAATAAAATGCACATTATACATCTGGTTTAGTCTGGCTTCTTTTTCCACCTGCTTCCTCCTCTCGTGCATGCTCTGAGCAGCTATTCCTGGAGGGGACGGCCGTGACTGATGGGGCTGCGGGCCAAGGAGAAATGGCAAGCGGAGAGGCTAATGGAGACCCTCACCTTTTCTTCTCTATTAGCCTCCTGCAACTCTGGGTGGTAGCTGCAAACTCAATTAAAACATCTGTACTTTCCCTTTCTCAATTATGTCTCCTTACACTTAAAACCAAACAAATTGAATTGCTCCACCGCCTCAGGCTGCAAAGGCAGTTTCTGCCAACAAATTTATTATCACCATAAAGCGCAGCTTGATTTATGTTAAAATATTAAAACAGATCTTTATGATGGAAATAAACACTTTCTGCTGTGATTCTCTCGAAGGACCTCACAAGCAGCGGAGGATTTCGGGGCTTGGGCTATAAATCTGAGATCAAACTGGCATCGGGGATGGATTCAGTCTTTTGCAGCACTTCGAAGAGCAACGGCCAGGGAAGGAAAAACAAAAACCTCGAGCCTGAGAGGCAAGTTTAGATGAGGCTTGAACATTGCCAAGGAGCAGCATGTCACTTGGGGCTGGGGGGGTGTGGGGTTAGCTGTTTGAAGGTTTGTGAGAAGATGCTCACAGGCCTTTTTCCCACATGGGTTTGGGCAGTCGGGCCCTGACCCCAGGAGCTGTCGGCATGGGGGCTGCCGGCAGCCCGTAGCGATGCCCCGGCAGCTTCGTGCTGGGACGAAGGTCTGCTTCCACTGGCTCAGCAGCCGGCACCCAGCCAGAACCTCCCCAAGGTGCTGCAGCCCCACCAGGCTCCTTCCCTCCCGGGGGAGGTGATGCGTGGCCGTGCAGCGCAGGGCTTGGAGGGTTTGTGCCCTGGCTGGTGCAGGGGGTGGGATGGGACCCTGGGGTTGGTTTTGTGCCACGACTTTGCCCTGGCAGGAGGCAGGAACCGGGAGGTGGCTGTGTGTGCTGCTCCGTCGAGCATCCTTGGGCATAGGCATGGCAACACCCTGCCATCCCTGTACTGGCACCAACACTTTCCCGGCCCCGTATCGTTTCTGGTTGTACCATTCATGATTTAACCAGCTGCCCCCACCCTCACCAGAGCCACCATCTCCCCATAAGCAGCACCAATGTGTCCTTGCCATTGGAAACCTCTTCCCCGTGGCTGACCCATGCTGGCCTGCCTTGTCGCCCCTTTCCTCAGCAGGATGGGTCTCACAATCCTGAGCAATGGGGGCAGTGAAAATAATACATGCCATGGCAATGCCGGAGCCGGTAGAGGCGGGGGGGGTGGTGTTCAGGGAGGCCTGTCATCTGGGGGGCCACTGCCTGCCCCCTCCCAGCGGGGCTGAGCCCAGGAGGCGGGTGGCCAGCAGTGAGCTGGCCATATTTCTCTTTGCACATAAATGGCAGCCCGCAGTGTCCCAGGGCGGCACGGGTGCCAGAGCTGGCTGAATTAAAAAGTGATTGATTAGACAATTTCACCAAAAAGAAATAATATCCCTCAGTGGCTGTTAAGCACTAAACTACCCAACCCCTGCTTTGGAAAGTCCAGTCAGAGGGTGCTTCCAGGCTACTGCTTCCCTGCAGATTTGTCCCTGGTGCACCCCGGGACGAGGGGATGCTGCAGAAACAGCTCAGCCCTTCCTTGGTCTGGGGAGGGGGGGGTCACGCAGCTCCCACCGGCTCTGGGCTGCTCGTTCCCCTGTGCCCCATTTAGCTCCTCTCCCACCAGCACCCATTTAGCACCCGGCACTGGGAATGGGAGAAAACTGGTGCTCTTCCATCCCAATTAGCATGTAAAGATGATTATGCAAATGCCACCATGGTAGCAGGGGACCTGGGTGCTGGGCTGCCGCATGGGGCACCCAGGATGGCTCTGGCTTTACAGCGGGGTGCTGACACACATCCCCGGGGCCACCTCCCCTGGGAGCACCCACAGCACCCCCGTCCCCCTGTCCCTCACTGCCCTCAGCCTCCTGCAGCAAAGCCCTTCAATAAAACATGAAGCAAATCCATTTGGCCTCTGCTGAGTCACCAGGGACATCACTAATTAATTTAAAGTGTGGGCTGGGAATTTTTGATATTTATTTTTTTCCTTTTTCCGCTCCTTTTTGTTCTCACAGCCCCAACCCTGGCTCAGGCTTGACCCTGACCCGCAGGTGCAGCTGTGTATGCTGGCTTCCTTGTGCCAAAAAGCCACAATTTGGGGGAAAGCTCCTCAGGCCACATTGGAGCTTCTTGGGGACCAGACTGTCACCCCCCAGGGGTGTCTGGGGCACCCAGCTAGGGACACCTGCCCCGGGCAAATGAGTGCCATCGTCTGGGGCAGCCTGGCAAGGATCCTCTTGCCTTCAACGGGGTTTATTTATTTATGGCCTGTGTTTATATACCAGCACCTCCCTCTCTCGCTACAAGGCTTTGGAGGGGCTGCCAAAGCAATTAAGAGACAATTGCGATGATAAATAAGTAAAGGGAATTAAAGCGCTGGCACCAGCGTGTGATGGCAGCCAGGCTGGGGGATGGGGGTTGGGGTGGGGGGGGCACTGGCTGGATTTAACCCCAGACAGATGGGTGGATGGATTGACAGACAGATGGACAGACAGACATTGCCAGTGCTTTCAACGCTGGGCCACACATGGCCAGGTCCTTCCTGAACTCCCCGGGGGCTTTGCAGCCCTCCAGAGGCAGGGCTGGGTGTCCCGGAGCAGCCCCCACCGTCGTCCCCTCGCTGTTGTTACTGGCCCCGGCTGCTCGGTGGCTGCCAGCAACCCTAACAGCTGCTTTTGAATAGGAAAAAAAAATACAACGGAGCTTTAGAGCAGCTTCTTGGGGGGACATTCATCCAGGCAGGTGATGCTGAACCAGCTGGGAAGAGGGGTTGAGGGTTGGCATCTCCCTGGGACAGCCTGCCAGCCTGCCATGGGCAGCTTTGCATAGCCCCAGGATGGGGCTGGTATCAATCAGCAAACCTATGGCCACTGCCCTGTGGCCCCGGTGGCCTCGGGTCCTGCTTGCCAAAAACCGTCTCCCCAGTCCGGTGCTGCCTGTGAATCACGGCCGCCCCTGCCCGTGCCCCCGCCAGCCCTGCAGGGAAAGGGCTGTGTTAGACATGTACATCAAGAGAAGAATTAAACCCGGCTCATCTATCGCGCCTGATTTATGGCTCCATCAGCCCTGGGAAGGTGGGAGGAATTTTTTTCCCTTTCTCATTCCCCCACAGCACAGCTTCCCGGGGCTGCCGTGCCGTGCTGCAGCTCCCTGCCGGGCTGCTGGTTTGCAGCCGTGGGGGCATCCCTCGGTGACCCGAGCTCCCAGCCATCCGTGCCCAGCACCCCAAAACCCGAGCAGGGTGCGGTAACTCTGGCTTCAGTGCTCAGCCTCAGCCTCCGCACAGGCTGATGGCTTCTAAGTAATTATCCCTCAGCGCAGTTTAATGAATTGCCATTTTCCTTTGCATGGCTGCCACTGGTGGGCTGAGCCTGTGGCGGGCCTCAGCAGTAAAGGGATGGGAGCGGGGGGGGGGTGCACAGGACCACAAGCATCCCTGTGATGGGGGTAAAGCCAAAGGCAGCCCCGGGCTCATCGCCAGAGGATGGAAAAATGGTCCCCAGCCAGTTGAAAATGTCTCTTTAATGACCTGGACATGGCATTTTGAGTCCCTCGAATGAAACCAAAACGTGATGGCGGCACGGTGGCAATGAGTTTGGCAACCCCGATGCCAGCCCTGCCTGTGGGGAGAGCCCGAGCCAGGGCGCGCCAGCCCCCCCCACGCTCCTCTGACCCCCCAAAGCGCACGGGACCCGCCGAGCCGCTTGGAGCATCCCGCTGCCGGCGGTGCAGGACCCCGGGAGGCTGGAGCCCGGCCGGGAGCCGCTGGCTGGCCCGCAGGGACACTCGGGCAAAGGGCAGGCAGAGGGGTGCGGACACCCCCCGGCCCCCCCGTCACACCTCCGACTCCAGGCTGGAGACCCGCCACCAGGACCCGCCGGCACAAGGACTCGTCACCCCACGGGCCACCAGTGGGTCCCTTCTCTCCGTCCCCACCGCCCATAGCAAGGAGGGCTCCCCGCGCCTCCCGCAGTCTCTGCAGCCGCTGTCCCAGCGCCCGGCCCCCCGGCCGCAGCCCGCCGGCACCCCAGGGTGCTCACGGGGCGGCGGGGACCCCCGCGAGAGGTGGCCCACGTAGAGGGGCAGGTTGGCATACGAGTTCACGCAGGCATACGGCGCGCACGCCGGCACGGTGGCGGTGGCACGGGGGTTTTGCCGGCAAGCCTCCCGGTAGGACGGCAGCCTGGCCACGGGCGAGCGTGGTGCCAGCCGGCCGGTGGCTTGGGGGCAGCGGGGACCGCAGCCGTAGCCGGCCTCGGCTTCGGGGAAGAGGTCGGGTACGTCGGTGCGGGCGGGCAGGCGGGCAGGACCGCAACGTCGCAGCCCCCCGGGACGTCGCTTCTCGCCCCGCTCCCCGGGTGCCCTGACCGAGCTCGCCCGCCAGCTCAGCTTCTCCCGCTCCATCACCGCAACCTCCGGCCTGATCGGCTCCCCCCTGGCTCTGCAAGTCCTGGTGGCTTTTGGGAAGGCTCCACGAGGGCAGGATGGAGGCAGGAAGGGGCTGACCGCCTCCCGCCTCTTCTCCGCTGCCGAGAGCAGCCGGGGCAGTGTCCCCGAGCCCCCGTGTCCCCCATCCACCTGGAGCTGGGGGGGGTTTTGCAGCCTGTCCCCCCGCCCCGACGGCCGCTTGTGCTCCCTGTAGATGTCCGGCGGCGGGAGGTCCCTGG